ACTACCACTACCGCCACTACCACTACCGCCACTACCACTATCACCACTACCACCACTACCACCACTACTACCACCATTACCACTACTACCACCACCACTATCACCACCCCCACCACCACCACTATCACCACCACAACAACCACCACCACCACCACTATCACCACCACAACAACCACCACCACTATCACCACCACAACAACCACCACCACCACTATCACCACCACAACAACCACCACCACTATCACCACCACAACAACCACCACCACCACTATCACCACCACAACAACCACCACCACTATCACCACCACAACAACCACCACCACTATCACCACCACAACAACCACCACCACTATCACCACCACAACAACCACCACCACCACAACAACCACTACTACCACTACCGCCACTACCACTACCGCCACTACCACTATCACCACTACCACCACTACCACCACTACTACCACCATTACCACTACTACCACCACCACTATCACCACCCCCACCACCACCACTGTCACCACCCCCACCACCTCCACCTTGAATCTCGCATCGCCATGGCAACCCCCTGGCGAGTCACGCGCAACCCGTGACGTGTGGCGTGGCGCGTGCACACCTGCCCAGCGGCCCCGCCCCCACACCTGCCCAGCGGCCCCGCCCCCCACGCTCCTACAAACTCCGCCCCCACTCCGTCAAGCCACACCCCAGCCTTTTAGCCCCACCCTCAACTACCTCAAGTCACCGCCCACCCTTATTCAAACACCGCCCCCAACGCCCTTTAAACCCCGCCCACCCTCATTCAAACCCTGCCCCCAACTCTTCCAAGGCCCTTTCCCCCCCACCTCCTTCAAACCCCGCCCCCAACTCCTTCAAGCCCCGCCCCCAACTCCCTCAAACCACGCCCACCCTCATTCAAACCCCGCCCCCAACACCCTCAAAACCCGCCCACCCTCATTCAAACCCTGCCCCCAACTCCTCCAAGGCCCTTTCCCCCCCACCTCCCTCAAACCCCGCCCCCAACTCCTTCAAGCCCCGCCCCCAACTCCCTCAAACCACGCCCGCCCTCATTCAAACCCCGCCCCCAACACCCTCAAACCCCGCCCACCCTCATTCAAACCCCGCCCCCAACTCAAACACCTCCCACCCTTAGTTTTTTCGGTAAAGTCACGTTGAAGAGAAACAACAAAATAACAAAATATATATAAAACAATAAAAAATTCTCACGACGTTTCGACGTCACACCTGATGATGACCGTTTGAGTTATGGTCGAAACGTCGTGAGAATTTTTTTTTTTATTGTTTTATATATATTTTGTTATTTTGTTGTTTCTCTTCAACGTGACTTTACCGAAAAAACTAAGAATATACCTCCCACCCTCATTCAAACCCCGCCCCCGACTCCTTCAAGCCCCCCCCCAACTCCCTAAAACCCCGCCCACCCTCGTTAAAGCCCCGCCCCCGACTCCTTCAAACCCCCAACCCCCCCAACTCCTTCAAGCCCCCCCCCCCAACTCCATAAAACCCCGCCCACCCTCATTCAAACCCCTCCCCAACTCCCTCAAACCCCGCCCATCCTCATTAAAACCCCGCCCCAACTCCTTCAAGCCCCGCCCACTCTCATTCAAACCCCGCCCCCAACTCCTTCAAGTCCCGCCCACCCTCATTCAAACCCCGCCCCCAACTCCCTCACCCAGTGTCTCACTAGCAGTGTCTCACTACCCAATGTCTCACTACCCAGTGTCTCACCACCCAGTGTCTCACTACCCAGTGTCTCACTACCCAGTGTCTCACTACCAGTGTCTCACTACCCAGTGTCTCACTACCCAGTGTCTCACTACCCAGTGTCTCACTAGCTGTGTCTCACTACCCAGTGTCTCACTACCCAGTGTCTCACCACCGGCGATCTTGCCACTGGTATCCCATCAAGAACTGAAGGGAGACCATCCGTAGGTTCCACACGGCCGTGCCATTTTATTCGCTACAACAAAACACAAATTTTCACGGCGTTCTTGGTCAGTCACAATTAGCCAGCCACCTCTGAGATAGACACCCAGGCCCAGGGATCAATCGAAAGGTCAGACTCTCAGTGTCTCTGACACGGCCATTGAGAGAGACACCCACAGACCCAGACTCTCAGTGTCTCTGACACGGCCATTGAGAGAGACACCCACAGACCCAGACTCTCAGTGTCTCTGACACGGCCATTGAGAGAGACACCCACAGACCCAGACTCTCAGTGTCTCTGACACGGCCATTGAGAGAGACACCCACAGACCCAGACTCTCAGTGTCTCTGACACGGCCATTGAGAGAGACACCCAGACCCAGACTCTCAGTGTCTCTGACACGGCCATTGAGAGAGACACCCAGATCCAGACTCTCAGTGTCTCTGACACGGCCATTGAGACAGACAGAGAGACACCCACAGACCCAGACTCTCAGTGTCTATGACACGGCCATTGAGAGAGACACCCAGACCCAGACTCACAGTGTCTCTGACACGGCCATTGAGAGAGACAGAGAGACACCCAGACCCAGACTCTCAGTGTCTCTGACACGGCCATTGAGACAGACAGAGAGACACCCACAGACCCAGACTCTCAGTGTCTCTGACACGGCCATTGAGAGAGACACCCAGACCCAGACTCTCAGTGTCTCTGACACGGCCATTGAGACAGACAGAGAGACACCCACAGACCCAGACTCTCAGTGTCTATGACACGGCCATTGAGAGAGACACCCAGTCCCAGACTCACAGTGTCTCTGACACGGCCATTGAGAGAGACAGAGAGACACCCAGACCCAGACTCTCAGTGTCTCTGACACGGCCATTGAGACAGACAGAGAGACACCCACAGACCCAGACTCTCAGTGTCTCTGACACGGTCATTGAGACAGACACCCAGACTCACAGTGTCTCTGACACGGCCATTGAGAGACAGACAGAGAGACACCCAGACACAGACTCTCAGTGTCTCTGACACGGCCATTGAGAGAGACACCCAGACCCAGACTCTCAGTGTCTCTGACACGGTCATTGAGACAGACAGAGAGACACCCAGACACAGACTCTCAGTGTCTCTGACACGGCCATTGAGAGAGACACCCAGACCCAGACTCTCAATGTCTCTGACACGGCAATTGAGAGAGACAGAGAGACACCCAGACGCAGACTCTCAGTGTCTCTGACACGGCCATTGAGACAGACAGAGAGACACCCAGACCCAGACTCTCAGTGTCTCTGATACGGCCATTGAGAGAGACACCCAGACCCAGACTCTCAGTGTCTCTGACACGGCCATTGAGACAGACAGAGAGACACCCAGACACAGACTCTCAGTGTTTCTGACACGGTCATTGTGACAGACAGAGAGACACCCAGACCCAGACTCTCAGTGTCTCTGACACTGCCATTGAGACAGACAGAGAGACACCCACAGACCCAGACTCTCAGTGTCTCTGACACGGCCATTGAGACAGACAGAGAGACACCCAGACCCAGACTCTCAGTGTCTCTGACACGGTCATTGTGACAGACAGAGAGACACCCAGACCCAGACTCTCAGTGTCTCTGACACGGCCATTGAGACAGACAGAGAGACACCCAGACCCAGACTCTCAGTGTCTCTGACATGGCCATTGAGAGAGACAGAGAGACACCCAGACACAGACTCTCAGTGTCTCTGACACGGCCATTGAGACAGACAGAGAGACACCCAGACCCAGACTCTCAGTGTCTCTGACACGGTCATTGTGAGAGAGACAGAGAGACACTCAGAGTCCCAGACTCTCAGTGTCTCCGACACGGTCATTGTGAGAGAGACAGAGAGACACCCACAGACCCAGACTCTCAGTGTCTCTGACACGGCCATGGTGAGACAGACACTGAGGCCTCTATCAGTGTCTCCGACACGGCCATTGTGAGAGACACTGAGGCCTCTATCGGTGTCTCCGACACGGCCATTGTGAGACGGACCCAGGCCTCTATCGGTGTCTCCGACACGGCCATTGTGAGACAGACACTGAGGCCTCTATCAGTGTCTCTGACACGGCCATTGAGACAGACACTGAGGCCTCCATCGGTGTCTCCGACACGGCCATTGAGACAGACACTGAGGCCTCTATCGTTGTCTCTGACACGGCCATTCAGACAGACCCAGGCCTCTATCGTTGTCTTTGACACGGCCATTGTGAGACAGACCCAGGCCTCTATCGTTGTCTCTGACACGGCCATTGTGAGACAGACCCAGGCCTCTATCGTTGTCTCTGACACGGCCTTGGTGAGACAGACACTGAGGCCTCTATCGGTGTCTCTTACGCGGCCTTGGTGAGAGACAGAGACACCCACAGACCCAGACTCTCACTGTCTCCGACACGGTCATTGTGAGAGAGACAGAGAGACATCCACAGACCCAGACTCTCAGTGTCTCTGACACGGCCTTGGTGAGACAGACACTGAGGCCTCTATCGGTGTCTCTGACACGGCCATGGTGAGACAGACACTGAGGCCTCTATCGTTGTCTCCGACACGGCCATTGTGAGAAAGACACTGAGGCCTCTATCGGTGTCTCTGACACGGCCATTGTGAGACAGACACTGAGGCCTCTATCGGTGTCTCTGACACGGCCATTGTGAGACAGACCCAGGCCTCTATCAGTGTCTCTGACACGGCCATTGTGAGAGACACTGAGGCCTCTATCGTTGTCTCTTACGCGGCCTTGGTGAGAGACAGAGACACACACAGACCCAGACTCTCAGTGTCTCCGACACGGTCATTGTGAGAGAGACAGAGAGACACCCACAGACCCAGACTATCGGTGTCTCCGACACGGCCATTGTGAGACAGACACTGAGGCCTCTATCGGTGTCTCCGACACGGCCATTGTGAGACAGACACTGAGGCCTCTATCGGTGTCTCTGACACGGCATTGGTGAGACAGACACTGAGGCCTCTATCGGTGTCTCTGACACGGCCATTGTGAGACGGACCCAGGCCTCTATCAGTGTCTCCGACACGGCCATTGTGAGACAGACACTGAGGCCTCTATCGGTGTCTCTTACGCGGCCTTGGTGAGAGACAGAGACACCCACAGACCCAGACTATCGGTGTCTCTGACACGGCCATTGAGACAGACCCAGGCTTCTATCGTTGTCTCTGACACGGCCATTGTGAGACAGACACTGAGGCCTCTATCGGTGTCTCTTACGCGGCCTCGGTCAGAGACAGAGACACCCACAGACCCAGACTATCGGTGTCTCCGACACAGCCATTGTGAGGCGGACCCAGGCCTCTATCGGTGTCTCCGACACGGCCATTGTGAGACGGACCCAGGCCCCTATCCGTGTCTCCGACACGGCCGCCTCTAGAGGTCGCGAATGGCGAGGCCTTCCCACAGCGGCATGCACAGAGCTCCGTCGATGTAGAGGAGGCGGTCGCGGTTGACGAGCTCCTCCTCAAGGCCCAGCTGGGCCCGTCGGAGGGCGCGGAGCTGAGCCTCGCCATTCCTCACCTCCTCGGTCAGCCTTGCGGAGGGGGGAGGGGGCCGGAACGTCGAGCAAGAGACACAATGAGTAGGAGACGCGTTGAGGTGGAGACTCAATGAGTAGGAGACACGTTGAGGTGGAGACACAATGAGTAGGAGACACAATGAGTAGGAGACACAATGAGTAGGAGACACAATGAGTAGGAGACACAATGAGTAGGAGACGCGTTGAGTAGGAGACACAATGAGTAGGAGACACAATGAGTAGGAGACACAATGAGTAGGAGACACAATGAGTAGGAGACGCGTTGAGTAGGAGACACAATGAGTAGGAGACACAATGAGTAGGAGACACAATGAGTAGGAGACACAATGAGTAGGAGACGCGTTGAGGTGGAGACACAATGAGTAGGAGACACGTTGAGGTGGAGACACAATGAGGTGGAGACACAATGAGTAGGAGACACGTTGAGGTGGAGACACGTTGAGGTGGAGACACGTTGAGGTGGAGACACAATGAGTAGGAGACACAATGAGTAGGAGACACAATGAGTAAGAGACACGTTGAGTAGGAGTCACAATGAGTAGGAGACACGTTGAGGTGGAGACACGTTGAGGTGGAGACACAATGAGTAGGAGACACAATGAGTAGGAGACACGTTGAGGTGGAGACACAATGAGTAGGAGACACATTGAGTAGGAGACACGTTGAGGTGGAGATTCAATGAGTAGGAGACACATTGAGGTGGAGATTCAATGAGTAGGAGACACAATGAGTAGGAGACACGTTGAGGTGGAGACACGTTGAGGTGGAGACACAATGAGTAGGAGACACGTTGAGGTGGAGACACGTTGAGGTGGAGACACAATGAGTAGGAGACACAATGAGTAGGAGACACAATGAGTAGGAGACACAATGAGTAGGAGACACAATGAGTAGGAGACACAATGAGTAGGAGACACAATGAGTAGGAGACACAATGAGTAGGAGACACGTTGAGGTGGAGACACGTTGAGGTGGAGACACAATGAGTAGGAGACACGTTGAGGTGGAGACACAATGAGTAGGAGACACAATGAGTAGGAGACACAATGAGTAGGAGACACGTTGAGGTGGAGACACAATGAGTAGGAGACACAATGAGTAGGAGACACAATGAGTAGGAGACACAATGAGTAGGAGACACAATGATTAGGAGACACAATGAGTAGAAGACACGTTGAGTAGGAGACATAATGAGTAGGAGACACAATGAGTAGGAGACACAATGAGTAGGAGACACAATGAGTAGGAGACACAATGAGTAGGAGACACGTTGAGTAGGAGACACAATGAGTAGGAGACACAATGAGTAGGAGACACGTTGAGAAGGAGACACGTTGAGGTGGAGACACAATGAGTAGGAGACACAATGAGTAGGAGACACAATGAGTAGGAGACACAATGATTAGGAGACACAATGAGTAGGAGACACAATAAGTAGGAGACACAATGAGTAGGAGACACAATGAGTAGGAGACACAATGAGTAGGAGACACGTTGAGTAGGAGACACAATGAGTAGGAGACACGTTGAGGTGGAGACACAATGAGTAGGAGACACGTTGAGGTGGAGACACGTTGAGGTGGAGACACAATGAGTAGGAGACACAATGAGTAGGAGACACGTTGAGAAGGAGACACGTTGAGGTGGAGACACAATGAGTAGGAGACACGTTGAGGTGGAGACACGTTGAGGTGGAGACACAATGAGTAAGAGACACAATGAGTAGGAGACACAATGAGTAGGAGACACAATGAGTAGGAGACACGTTGAGGTGGAGACACAATGAGTAGGAGACACAATGAGTAGGAGACACAATGAGTAGGAGACACAATGAGTAGGAGACACAATGAGTAGGAGACACATTGAGTAGGAGACACATTGAGTAGGAGACACGTTGAGGTGGAGACACAATGAGTAGGAGACACAATGAGTAGGAGACACAATGAGTAGGAGACGCGTTGAGTAGGAGACACAATGAGTAGGAGACACAATGAGTAGGAGACACGTTGAGTAGGAGACACAATGAGTAGGAGACACAATGAGTAGGAGACACAATGAGTAGGAGACACAATGAGTAGGAGACACATTGAGGTGGAGACACGTTGAGTAGGAGACACAATGAGTAGGAGACACGTTGAGGTGGAGATTCAATGAGTAGGAGACACATTGAGGTGGAGATTCAATGAGTAGGAGACACAATTAGTAGGAGACACAATGATTAGGAGACACAATGAGTAGGAGACACGTTGAGTAGGAGACACGTTGAGGTGGAGACACAATGAGTAGGAGACACAATGAGTAGGAGACACAATGAGTAGGAGACACAATGAGTAGGAGACACAATGAGTAAGAGACACGTTGAGTAGGAGTCACAATGAGTAGGAGACACGTTGAGGTGGAGACACGTTGAGGTGGAGACACAATGAGTAGGAGACACAATGAGTAGGAGACACGTTGAGGTGGAGACACAATGAGTAGGAGACACATTGAGTAGGAGACACGTTGAGGTGGAGATTCAATGAGTAGGAGACACATTGAGGTGGAGATTCAATGAGTAGGAGACACAATGAGTAGGAGACACGTTGAGGTGGAGACACGTTGAGGTGGAGACACAATGAGTAGGAGACACGTTGAGGTGGAGACACGTTGAGGTGGAGACACAATGAGTAGGAGACACAATGAGTAGGAGACACAATGAGTAGGAGACACAATGAGTAGGAGACACAATGAGTAGGAGACACAATGAGTAGGAGACACAATGAGTAGGAGACACAATGAGTAGGAGACACGTTGAGGTGGAGACACGTTGAGGTGGAGACACAATGAGTAGGAGACACGTTGAGGTGGAGACACAATGAGTAGGAGACACAATGAGTAGGAGACACAATGAGTAGGAGACACGTTGAGGTGGAGACACAATGAGTAGGAGACACAATGAGTAGGAGACACAATGAGTAGGAGACACAATGAGTAGGAGACACAATGATTAGGAGACACAATGAGTAGGAGACACGTTGAGTAGGAGACATAATGAGTAGGAGACACAATGAGTAGGAGACACAATGAGTAGGAGACACAATGAGTAGGAGACACAATGAGTAGGAGACACGTTGAGTAGGAGACACAATGAGTAGGAGACACAATGAGTAGGAGACACGTTGAGAAGGAGACACGTTGAGGTGGAGACACAATGAGTAGGAGACACAATGAGTAGGAGACACAATGAGTAGGAGACACAATGATTAGGAGACACAATGAGTAGGAGACACAATAAGTAGGAGACACAATGAGTAGGAGACACAATGAGTAGGAGACACAATGAGTAGGAGACACGTTGAGTAGGAGACACAATGAGTAGGAGACACGTTGAGGTGGAGACACAATGAGTAGGAGACACGTTGAGGTGGAGACACGTTGAGGTGGAGACACAATGAGTAGGAGACACAATGAGTAGGAGACACGTTGAGAAGGAGACACGTTGAGGTGGAGACACGATGAGTAGGAGACACGTTGAGGTGGAGACACGTTGAGGTGGAGACACAATGAGTAAGAGACACAATGAGTAGGAGACACAATGAGTAGGAGACACAATGAGTAGGAGACACGTTGAGGTGGAGACACAATGAGTAGGAGACACAATGAGTAGGAGACACAATGAGTAGGAGACACAATGAGTAGGAGACACAATGAGTAGGAGACACATTGAGTAGGAGACACATTGAGTAGGAGACACGTTGAGGTGGAGACACAATGAGTAGGAGACACAATGAGTAGGAGACACAATGAGTAGGAGACGCGTTGAGTAGGAGACACAATGAGTAGGAGACACAATGAGTAGGAGACACCATGAGTAGGAGACACAATGAGTAGGAGACACAATGAGTAGGAGACACAATGAGTAGGAGACACAATGAGTAGGAGACACATTGAGGTGGAGACACGTTGAGTAGGAGACACAATGAGTAGGAGACACGTTGAGGTGGAGATTCAATGAGTAGGAGACACATTGAGGTGGAGATTCAATGAGTAGGAGACACAATTAGTAGGAGACACAATGATTAGGAGACACAATGAGTAGGAGACACGTTGAGTAGGAGACACGTTGAGGTGGAGACACAATGAGTAGGAGACACAATGAGTAGGAGACACAATGAGTAGGAGACACAATGAGTAGGAGACACAATGAGTAGGAGACACAATGAGTAGGAGACACAATGAGTAGGAGACACAATGAGTAGGAGACACGTTGAGGTGGAGACACAATGAGTAGGAGACAAGTTGAGTAGGAGACACAATGAGTAGGAGACACAATGAGTAGGATGATGCCACCCTCCACCTCCACCACCACCTCCACCAACAACAACAACCGCCATTCGCCACTAAGTAGCGGTGACATCACCACGACGCTTGTGCCAGGCTATGTGCACCTTGAGGCCACGTGAAGTGTCGAACGCCCGCTGGCAGGAGGTCACGGGGCAGACCCAGGTGCCACGCGTCGACTGACTGAGATGACTGGCTGATGCACCACCTGTGCCCCCTACTGTGCCAACCTGCTGTGCTTTAGCCACCCGGCGCTCTGCTCGTTGTTGTGAGCGTCTCTCCTCCGCCCTCCGTTGTTGTTGGAGGGCGACTGCCTCCAACTGCCCAGTAGCGTCCTTCACGAGCCTCCTCCACAGAGGCCGATCTCGACACCGCTGGTACCAGTCATCAGCAAGTCCACTCAGCTCCACGTCCTCCTGTACCACATCACTTCATCTCTTCTCTAGCCCGTGCCGCACCCGTTTAGCCCCCTACGTGGTCAAAATAGATGTTAAATAATGTGGGAGCCAGACAACATCCCTGTCACACCCCAAGGTGTACAGGGAATGGCTCCGACTCCCAGCCACGTATTTTTACCCAGGCCCGCTCACCATCATGACGGTCCTTAATGATCGTGAGCAGAAGGTCAGGGACTCTAAAAGCACAAAGCACAACCCAGAGCCCAGGCCTACTGATTGTATCATAGGCCTTGACCAGGTCAATATTGCAGAGATGTAGGTCTTGTTGGAATTCCCTACACCTCTGCTGTAGCAGACGGACAGAAAATATGGCATCTGTGCAGGACCGCCCTTTCCAGAAATCGCATTGGGGCTCCGCAAGCCTCTCCTCAGCGTGCCTGGAGAGGCGATGTTGAATAATCCTTGCCAGGACCTTTCCCGGCACACTGAGGAGTGAGATGCCCCTGTTGTTGGTACAGTCTGTGCGGTCCCCCTTCTTAAAGAGGGGGACCCCTAGGGCATCCTTCCAGTCCTGTGGAACCCATCCAGTGGCCCAGACTGTTGTTATCATGTCATAGAGGGCAGTCTTTGCACAAACACCACCCTCCCTCAGCATTTCGCTTGGGAGATCATCTCTGTCCAGTGCCTCTCCTGGTCTCAGACTCCGAATCGCCCTCAGTTCTTCCTCAACAGATGGCACCTCAGCCAGCCACTCACAGGGGGTGACTTCTTCCAATATTTGAGGCACCGCAGCCTCAGCAGGGTCATCCCCACTTTGTCCCACGTTGTTATCCTGGCTGAGGGATGTCCCCTCCCCCAGGACCTCACAGAAATGCTCAGCAAATCTGTAAACCTGTTTCCGGGCGTCGGAGATTGGATCACCGTTCTTTCCCCTAATGATGGTAATAGGTGTGGTGCTGCAGGTTACTTTTTTAATGGAATTAAAGAGCGATTTGTGATCGCGGGCCACTGAGGCAGACTCCATCTCCTCAGCAACCCGCGACCACCACCCATTGTAGCAGCACCTCACGGCTCTCTGAACCTCCGAGCGAAGGCTGCGGTAAGCCTCCTCATTCTCCGATATGGGATGCTGTAGCCGATGAGAGTGGGCCTGTCGCTTTTTCTCAGCCAGCTTGAACACCTCCTGTCAGCCAGGGTCTCTATGGCGGTCTGGACCGCATACCCAAAGCAGCCATTGCAACTGCATGAGTCACAGTCCTAAACCTCGCCCATTTACCCTCGACATCAGGAGGAGTCGGGGACGATGCCAATCCCAGCCGCAAGCGATGATTAAATTCTCGCTTGCAACTTTCATCAGCTAGCTGAGACCATGCCACGAAGGGTTTGAATGGAATCCTGGGTGTACACCCACCACCATAGTGGAAGAATGGCAGGCGCATCTTACAGATGACAAGTCGATAGTCAGTGGGCAGATCAGCTCCACGGTAGGTCGTGGTGTCAAGGACATGGGCTCGCATCTGCTGGTCCGTCACTATGTAGTCCAGCAGATGTTTTTGCTTGGACCCGGCATGCATCCATGATGTTGTGTGGATACGCCGATGCCGGAAAAGCATGTTGGTAATTACAAGCCCATGGGCTGCACAAAAATCTAGCAGCCTCCTGCCGTTGTTATTGAGCTGATCTGGCCCATGCCCTCCAATCACTCCAGACCATGTGCCAGTATCATGACCAACTCGGGCATTGAAGTCTCCAATGACTCTATCCCGAAGGGCCACATTAGCCAGCACCTGTGTCAGGAGGTCATAGAAGGCATCTGACTCATCGGCTTTGCCTGCATCCCTCCACGGATGTTCGTCTTCGGTGGGAGCATAAGCAACCAAGACCACCACTCCTCGCCTCCGGTTGATGGGAAGGCGAGCCCAAAGTAGCCTGGGGCTTACAGCTTCCCACACCTCACTGCCACGCTCCCACGCCCCCTTCATTCTTTTGTTCAGAAGAACAGCCACTCCCTGTTGTTTGGCAGCCTCCTGCCCCGAGTAGAGGACTGTCCACCCCTCATGGTGGCAGGAGCCACAGCCGGTCCACCGGACCTCCTGAACGCCGCAGAGATCCAGGCGGTACCGGTCCAGCTCCCGACAGAGGAGCGGCAGCCTCTCCTCCGCAAGCGAGCGTTCGAACATTCCACGTGGCCACCCGCAGTGGCTTTTTTGTTGTTTCTGGAGGAGCCCCCCCGCGAGGGTAGAGATTCAGTCTCCTGGCTCCGCCAAACGGTGGTTTTGGCCAGGAGACGTCACGGACGCCTGTCCCCCCCCCCCCCCCCCCCCACCCCGGGGTCTCAGGCACAAGCTTCGTTGGATATTTATCTCGTGGTTTAGCGGTAATCCATTGAAGGTGTAGGGGGTTACCGGCCCCTCGCACCCGTCCAGAGCACCCTTTCGGCCGCTTTGCTGGTCACAGACGCCATGAGGGGGGAGGAAAGGCCAATCGGAATTGGCCCTCTCCGTCCCCCCCCCCCCCCCCCCCCACGGCACTGCCCACGACAGCATTGCCCATCCACCACCACCACCACCGCCACCACCGCCACCACCACCACCACCAACCACCCCCACCACCACCGCCACCACCACCACCACCCCCACCACCACCGCCGCCACCACCACCACCACCACCGCCACCGCCGCCACCACCACCACCACCACCGCCACCGCCGCCACCGCCGCCTCACCGCCCCCGGCTGTCCTGCAGCTGCTCCAGCTCCGCCTGGAGCTGTTTCTGCGCCGCGTCCGGACAGCGTTCCCCGGGGGGCCGACCCCGACGGGCCTCCAGCCGGGCCCGGCACACCGCCAGCGGTGCCTCCAGGCCACCGAGGGACTCGGCCAGGCGACGCAGAGATTCCTCCTGAAGGGACATCGCCTCCATCGTCTGGGGGAGGGATGGGGCGGGGGGGGTGATGGTTACCGGTGTGAGAGTCTCACCTGTGTAGAGGGTTTCACGGGACACGGAGGCGGTGGGAGTAGAGGCAGCGCTGTTTATTCAGCTTCGCGGGGGGTTACACTGGAAGGGGTAACGGCCCCTTCACCCGTACACTCGCTGGGACACCCCCTAGGCTATCGGCCTAACTCCTGTGTCCCCAGTTCCTCCAGCTACAGGCGCTAGAGTTGTAGCGGGTTATACGGGACACGGTGGAGTAGAGGCAGCGCTGTTTATTCAGCTTCGCGGGGGGTTACACTGGAAGGGGTAACGGCCCCTTCACCCGTACACTCACTGGGACACTCCCTAGGCTCTCGGCCTAACTCCAATTTGCTCCCAGTTCCTCCAGCTACAGGCGCTAGAGTTGCGGCGGGTTTCACGGGACACGGAGGCGGTGGAGTAGAGGCACCGCTGTTTATTCAGCTTCGCGGGGGGGTTACACTGAGAAGGGGTAACGGCCCCTTCACCCGTACACTCGCTGGGACACCCCCTAGGCTATCGGCCTAACTCCTGTGTCCCCAGTTCCTCCAGCTACAGGCGCTAGAGGGAGGCTACCTGACCTGGCCCTGGTCATGGCACGGGTCACGGTACACCCCACCAACCACACCGACCCTTAAAAGGGCTCCGGGCTCCGAGGCTCTGGGGCCGCACCGCCGGCCCTAACGAGGGCGGCGTTCAGGGGGGTCCCAGGGTCTAGCTAGCCGGCCTTCCGTCTTCACCGGTTCTTCACTATTGGCCCCAATGCTTTGCCCCCAGATCTCCGGCTCCCACGCCCTTGATAGCCGTACACCATTTCGATTTAAAGCTTTCGTGACTGCAATGATTAATCTTCTTTGGTTCTTTCGGTAAAGTCACGTAGAATGATAATAAAATAATAAATTGATAAAATAAAATAACAATAATATTCTCACGACGTTTCGGCCACAACACAAGCGGCCTTCATCAGGTGAAGGGACGAGACTGTCTGGTAGGACAGCGCTGGAGTGAAAGAGCCACGTTCAGATCACGACCTTTAAGCTGTGTGAGAGGAAACAAAGCGCCTTAGAGTCGCGGCATCTCTTCAGAAAGGTGAGAGACTCGATTAGTTGAGCCTTCTTATCCCGGAGTCTGTTGAATGATCTTAAGGATGTGTGGAATCCCTCCCCGTAGAGGGGGTTAAATTTCGATTTAAAGCTTTCGTGACTGCAATGATTCATCTTCTTTGGTTCTTTCGGTAAAGTCACGTGTTGTGGCCAAAACGTCGTGAGAATATTATTGTGTTCTTTTATTTTATCAATTTATTATTTTATTCTCATTCTACGTGACTTTACCGAAAGAACCAAAGAAGATGAATCATTGCAGTCACGAAAGCTTTAAATCGAAATTTAACAGACTCCAGGATAAGAAGGCTCAACTAATCGAGTCTCTCACCTTTCTGAAGAGATGCCGCGACTCTAAGGCGCTTTGTTTCCTCTCACAGAGCTTAAAGGTCGTGATCTGAACGTGGCTCTTTCACTCCAGCGCTGTCCTACCAGACAGTCTCGTCCCTTCACCTGATGAAGGCGGCTTGTGTTGTGGCCGAAACGTCGTGAGAATATTATTGTGTTATTTTATTTTATCAATTTATTATTTTATTCTCATTCTACGTGACTTTACCGAAAGAACCAAATAAGCCGTACACCACTGATGGCGGGGCTATAGCGGACGTGGTTGTAGTCACCATGGTGTGGCTGTGTGTTACCTTAACACACACTGTGTTACATTCCTACACTGTGTGTTACATTAACACACTGTGTTACATTCCTACACTGTGTGTGTTACATTAACACATTGTGTGTTACATTAACACACTGTGTGTTACATTAACACACTGTGTGTTATATTAACACACTGTGTGTTACATTCCTACACTATGTGTTACATTAACACACTGTGTTACATTCCCACACACTGTGTTACATTAACACACTGTGTTACATTAACACACTGTGTTACATTCCCACACACTGTGTTACATTAACACATTGTGTTACATTCACACACTGTGTTACATTCCTGCACTGTGTTACATTCCTACACTGTGTGTTACATTCACACACTGTGTGTTACCTTAACACACTGTGTTACATTAACACACTGTGTTACATTCACACACTGTGTGTTACATTCCCACACTGTGTGTTACATTCACACACTGTGCGTTACCTTAACACACTGTGTTATATTCCCACACTGTGTGTTACATTAACACACTGTGTGTTACATTAACACATTGTGTTACATTAACACACTGTGTTACATTCACACACTGTGTGTTACATTCCTACACTGTGTTACATTCCCACACTGTGTTACATTAACACACTGTGTTACATTCCCACACTGTGTGTTACATTCACACACTGTGTTACATTCACACACTGTGTGTTACCTTAACACACTGTGTTACATTCCCACACTGTGTTACATTCACACACTGTGTTACATTCACACACTGAGTTACATTCACACACTGTGTTACATTCACACACTGTGTGTTATATTCCTACACTGTGTTACAATAGCGCACTGTGTTACACTAACACACTGTGTTACATTCAGACACTGTGTTACATTAACACACTGTGTTACATTCCCACACTGTGTTACATTCCCACACTGTGTTACTTTAACACACTGTGTGTTACATTAACACAGTGTCTTACATTCCTACACTGTGTTACATTCCCACACTGTGGGTTACATTAACACACTGTATTACATTCCCACACTGTGTTACATCAACACACTGTGTTACATTCACACACTGTGTGTTACATTCCTACACTGTGTTACATTCACACACTGTGTTACATTCCCACACTGTGTGTTACATTAACACACTGTGTTACATTCCCACACTGTGTTACATTGACACACTGTGTGTTACATTCCTACACTGTGTTACATTCCCACACTGTGTTACATTCACACACTGTGTTACATTCACACACTGTGTTACATTCACACACTGTGTTACATTCACACACTGTGTTACATTCACACACTGTGTTACATTTAGACACTGTGTGTTACATTCCTACACTGTGTTACATTAACACACTGTGTTACATTCACACACTGTGTTACATTCACAAACTGTGCTACATGCACACACTGTGTGTTACATTAACACACTGTGTTACCTTCCTACACTGTGTTACATTCCTACACTGTGTGTTACATTAACACACTGTGTTACATTCACACACTGTGTTACATTCACACACTGTGTTACATTCCTACACTGTGTGTTACATTAACACACTGTGTTACATTCCCACACTGTGTTACATTAACACACTGTGTGTTACATTCACACATTGTGTTACATTCCTACACTGTGTGTTACATTAACACACTGTGTTACATTCACACACTGTGTTACATTAACACACTGTGTTACATTCCTACACTGTGTTACATTCACACACTCTGTTACATTCACACACTGTGTTACATTCCCACACTGTGTTACATTAACACACTGTGTTACATTCACACACTGTGTTACATTAACACACTGTGTTACATTCACACACTGTGTTACATTCAGACACTGTGTTACATTAACACACTGTGTGTTACATTCCTACACTGTGTTACATTCACACACAGTGTGTTACATTAACACACTGTGTTACATTCCCAGACTGTGTTACATTCCCACACTGTGTTACATTCACACACTGTGTTACATTCCTACACTATGTGCTACATTAACACACTGTGTTACATTCCCATACTGTGTTACATTCACACACTGTGTTACATTCACACACTGTGTGTGTTACATTCACACACTGTGCTACATTCACACACTGTGTTACATTCCCACACTGTGTTACATGCACACACTGTGTTACATTCCTACACTATGTGTTACATTAACACACTGTGTTACATTCCCACACTGTGTTACATTCACACACTGTGGTACCTCAACACACAGTGTGTTACATTAACACACTGTGTGTTAAGGTAACCCACACACACTGTGTGACCTTAACACACACTGTGTGTGTTACATTAACACACACACAGTGTGTGTGCACCGCGAGACTCTCCCCACCCCGTACCCAGCCCCCTCACCTGTGCCAGGGCCTCCTCCGTGCGCCGTTTGCTCTCCCTGGCCGCGCTCACCGCGGCCGCGAGGGCCCGCCCTGTGGCTCGCCCCTGGCTCCGAGCGTCCTCCTGGGCCCTGCCGAGGGCACCCAGGGCCAGGGCGAGCAGCGACTCGCCGGCCCGCACCGCCAGCGACGCTCGCGAGGCCAGAGACTCGCAGGACGAACGCCACGACTGCACGCTGACGCTGGGTGTGGGTTCGTAGCAAAGTGTCACGTTGACAGAAGGCGAAAAACACGTTTTCATCTGGAGCTTTCCGTGGCTGCAGTAATTCGCATCCTCAGCTCTCTCTCGGTGAAGCCACGTTGAATTGGAAACAGCCGACACGTCGGCCGTGGCGGACCGCTGTTACAATTCAGTGGGCTCACACGACACTGACTTCTCCAAGACGGAGGTTCTCTGCAAGCCGTCTGGCTACGGTGAGAGATTCGTTCATGAGGCTATCCACATATACAAACACGGAGACAATTTCAACCGGGAAGATGGATTCTGGGCTTAGCAATCATTGGAAGGATTTGATAAATCATTTGGGGGTCTTAATTGATTGTTCACGCTTACGTTAAGCCATCTGGCTACCATGAGAGATTCGTTCATGAGGCTATCCACATATACAAGCACGGAGACAATTTCAACCGGGAAGATGGATTCTGGGCTTTAGCAATCATTGGAAGGATTTGATAAATCATTTGGGGGTCTTAATTGATTGTTCACGCTTACGTTAAGCCATCTGGCTACCATGAGAGATTCGTTCATGAGGCTATCCACACATACAAGCACGGAGACAATTTCAACCGGGAAGATGGATTCTGGGCTTAGCAATCATTGGAAGGATTTGATAAACCATTTGGGGTCTTAATTGATTGTTCACGCTTACGGTGGCTTTCAGACAGCATACATTAATTTTTCGTCTCCCCCCCCTCCTCTTTTCAGAACATAGATGGACTCGTCCATCTAAACAAACTGTCAAATCGCTCTCCGTGGTGCTAACGTTTTTAAAAAAATAAATAAACACAAACACCGCTCAAAATAAATAAATAAACCTCCACTTCTTTCAAATGTTTCTTGCCATTGGTCTTTTCACACCTGATGACGACCGTTTGCGTTACGGTCGAAACGTCGTGATAATTTTTATTGTTTCATATATATATATTTTTCTAACATTTTACTGTTTCCCTTCGACGTGGTGACTTTAGCGAAAGAGCTAAGAATGTAAAAAGACGAAACAGTTCCACTGCCTTAGCCCTACACCGGTGGTGTTGTCGAAGAGTGAATCCACGACATTTACAGTTTCAGTAGTACTGTGACGTTTCGCTGGTAATTACATCCCCAGCATCAGCGGGCAAATTCGCCAGAATTCTGGTAATTACATCCCCAGCATCTTCGGGCAAATTCGTCAGAATTCTGGTAATTACATCCAGCGTCATGGGGCAAGTTCGCCAGAATTCTGGTAATTACATCCAGCATCATGGGGCAAATTCGCCAGAATTCTGGTAATTACATCCAGCGTCATGGGGCAAATTCGCCAGAATTATGGTAATTACATCCCCAGCGTCATGGGGCAAATTCGCCAGAATTCTGGTAATTACATCCCCAGCGTCATTGGGCAAATTCGCCAGAATTCTGGTAATTACATCCAGCGTCATGGGGCAAATTCGCCAGAATTCTGGTAATTACATCCCCAGCATCATGGGGCAAATTCGCCAGAATTCTGGTAATTACATCCCCAGCATCATGGGGCAAATTCGCCAGAATTCTGGTAATTACATCCAGCATCATCGGGCAAATTCGCCAGAATTCTGGTAATTACATCCAGCATCTTCGGCAAATTCGCCAGAATTCTGGTAATTACATCCAGCATCTTGGGCAAATTCGCCAGAATTCTGGTAATTACATCCCCAGCATCATCGGGCAAATTCGCCAGAATTCTGGTAATTACATCCAGCGTCATCGGGCAAATTCGCCAGAATTCTGGTAATTACATCCAGCATCTTCGGGCAAATTCGCCAGAATTCTGGTAATTACATCCAGCGTCATGGGGCAAATTCGCCAGAATTCTGGTAATTACATCCAGCATCATCGGGCAAATTCGCCAGAATTCTGGTAATTACATCCAGCATCATCGGGCAAATTCGCCAGAATTCTGGTAATTACATCCAGCGTCATGGGGCAAATTAGCCAGAATTCTGGTAATTACATCCAGCGTCATGGGGCAAATTCGCCAAAATTCTGGTAATTACATCCAGCGTCATCGGGCAAATTCGCCAGAATTCTGGTAATTACATCCAGCGTCATGGGGCAAATTCGCCAGAATTCTGGTAATTACATCCCCAGCATCATCGGGCAAATTCTGGTAATTACATCCAGCATCATCGGGCAAATTAACCAGAATTCTGGTCATTACATCCAGCATCATCGGGCAAATTCGCCAGAATTCTGGTAATTACATCCAGCATCATGGGGCAAATTCACTAGAATTCTGGTAATTACATCCAGCATCTTCGGGCAAATTCGCCAGAATTCTGGTAATTACATCCAGCATCATCGGGCAAATTCGCCAGAATTCTGGTAATTACATCCAGCGTCATGGGGCAAATTCGCCAGAATTCTGGTATTTACATCCAGCATCATCGGGCAAATTCGCCAGAATTCTGGTAATTACATCCAGCATCATGGGGCAAATTCACCAGAATTCTGGTAATTACATCCCCAGCATCATGGGGCAAATTCGCCAGAATTCTGGTAATTACATCCCCAGCATCATGGGGCAAATTCGCCAGAATTCTGATAATTACATCCCCAGCATCATGGGGCAAATTCGCCAGAATTCTGGTAATTACATCCAGCATCTTCGGGCAAATTCGCCAGAATTCTGATAATTACATCCAGCATCATGGGGCAAATTCACCAGAATTCTGGTAATTACATCCCCAGCATCATGCGGCAAATTCACCAGAATTCTGGTAATTACATCCCCAGCATCATGGGGCAAATTCGCCAGAATTCTGGTAATTACATCCAGCATCATCGGGCAAATTCGCCAGAATTCTGGTAATTACATCCAGCATCTTCGGGCAAATTCGCCAGAATTCTGGTAATTACATCCAGCATCATGGGGCAAATTCGCCAGAATTCTGGTAATTACATCCAGCATCATGGGGCAAATTCGCCAGAATTCTGGTAATTTCATCCAGCATCATCGGGCAAATTCGCCAGAATTCTGGTAATTACATCCAGCATCTTCGGGCAAATTCGCCAGAATTCTGGTAATTACATCCAGCATCATGGGGCAAATTCGCCAGAATTCTGGTAATTACATCCAGCATCATGGGGGAAATTCGCCAGAATTCTGGTAATTACATCCAGCATCATCGGGCAAATTCGCCAGAATTCTGGTAATTATATCCCCAGCATCATCGGGCAAATTCGCCAGAATTCTGGTAATTACATCCAGCATCATGGGGCAAATTCGCCAGGATTCTGGTAATTACATCCAGCGTCATCGGGCAAATTCGCCAGAATTCTGGTAATTACATCCAGCATCTTCGGCAAATTCGCCAGAATTCTGGTAATTACATCCAGCATCTTGGGCAAATTCGCCAGAATTCTGGTAATTACATCCCCAGCATCATCGGGCAAATTCGCCAGAATTCTGGTAATTACATCCAGCGTCATCGGGCAAATTCGCCAGAATTCTGGTAATTACATCCAGCATCTTCGGGCAAATTCGCCAGAATTCTGGTAATTACATCCAGCGTCATGGGGCAAATTCGCCAGAATTCTGGTAATTACATCCAGCATCTTCGGGCAAATTCGCCAGAATTCTGGTAATTACATCCAGCATCATGGGGCAAATTCGCCAGAATTCTGGTAATTACATCCAGCATCATGGGGGAAATTCGCCAGAATTCTGGTAATTACATCCAGCATCATCGGGCAAATTCGCCAGAATTCTGGTAATTATATCCCCAGCATCATCGGGCAAATTCGCCAGAATTCTGGTAATTACATCCAGCATCATGGGGCAAATTCGCCAGGATTCTGGTAATTACATCCAGCGTCATCGGGCAAATTCGCCAGAATTCTGGTAATTACATCCAGCATCTTCGGCAAATTCGCCAGAATTCTGGTAATTACATCCAGCATCTTGGGCAAATTCGCCAGAATTCTGGTAATTACATCCCCAGCATCATCGGGCAAATTCGCCAGAATTCTGGTAATTACATCCAGCGTCATCGGGCAAATTCGCCAGAATTCTGGTAATTACATCCAGCATCTTCGGGCAAATTCGCCAGAATTCTGGTAATTACATCCAGCGTCATGGGGCAAATTCGCCAGAATTCTGGTAATTACATCCAGCATCATCGGGCAAATTCGCCAGAATTCTGGTAATTACATCCAGCATCATCGGGCAAATTCGCCAGAATTCTGGTAATTACATCCAGCGTCATGGGGCAAATTAGCCAGAATTCTGGTAATTACATCCAGCGTCATGGGGCAAATTCGCCAAAATTCTGGTAATTACATCCAGCGTCATCGGGCAAATTCGCCAGAATTCTGGTAATTACATCCAGCGTCATGGGGCAAATTCGCCAGAATTCTGGTAATTACATCCCCAGCATCATCGGGCAAATTCTGGTAATTACATCCAGCATCATCGGGCAAATTAACCAGAATTCTGGTCATTACATCCAGCATCATCGGGCAAATTCGCCAGAATTCTGGTAATTACATCCAGCATCATGGGGCAAATTCACTAGAATTCTGGTAATTACATCCAGCATCTTCGGGCAAATTCGCCAGAATTCTGGTAATTACATCCAGCATCATCGGGCAAATTCGCCAGAATTCTGGTAATTACATCCAGCGTCATGGGGCAAATTCGCCAGAATTCTGGTATTTACATCCAGCATCATCGGGCAAATTCGCCAGAATTCTGGTAATTACATCCAGCGTCATGGGGCAAATTCACCAGAATTCTGGTAATTACATCCCCAGCATCATGGGGCAAATTCGCCAGAATTCTGGTAATTACATCCCCAGCATCATGGGGCAAATTCGCCAGAATTCTGATAATTACATCCCCAGCATCATGGGGCAAATTCGCCAGAATTCTGGTAATTACATCCAGCATCTTCGGGCAAATTCGCCAGAATTCTGATAATTACATCCAGCATCATGGGGCAAATTCACCAGAATTCTGGTAATTACATCCCCAGCATCATGCGGCAAATTCACCAGAATTCTGGTAATTACATCCCCAGCATCATGGGGCAAATTCGCCAGAATTCTGGTAATTACATCCAGCATCATCGGGCAAATTCGCCAGAATTCTGGTAATTACATCCAGCATCTTCGGGCAAATTCGCCATAATTCTGGTAATTACATCCAGCATCATGGGGCAAATTCGCCAGAATTCTGGTAATTACATCCAGCATCATGGGGCAAATTCGCCAGAATTCTGGTAATTTCATCCAGCATCATCGGGCAAATTCGCCAGAATTCTGGTAATTACATCCAGCATCTTCGGGCAAATTCGCAGAATTCTGGTAATTACATCCAGCATCATGGGGCAAATTCGCCAGAATTCTGGTAATTACATCCAGCATCATGGGGGAAATTCGCCAGAATTCTGGTAATTACATCCAGCATCATCGGGCAAATTCGCCAGAATTCTGGTAATTATATCCCCAGCATCATCGGGCAAATTCGCCAGAATTCTGGTAATTACATCCAGCATCATGGGGCAAATTCGCCAGGATTCTGGTAATTACATCCAGCGTCATCGGGCAAATTCGCCAGAATTCTGGTAATTACATGCAGAGTCATGGGGCAAATTCGCCAGAATTCTGGTAATTACATCCAGCATCATGGGGCAAATTCGCCAGAATTCTGGTAATTACATCCAGCATCATGGGGCAAATTCGCCAGAATTCTGGTAATTACTTCCAGCATCATCAGGCAAATTCACCAGAATTCTGATAATTACATCCAGCATCATGGGGCAAATTCGCCAGAATTCTGGTAATTACATCCAGCATCATGGGGCAAATTCGCCAGAATTCTGGTAATTACATCCAGTATCTTCGGGCAAATTCGCCAGAATTCTAGTAATTACATCCAGCATCATGGGGCAAATTCGCCAGGATTCTGGTAATTACATCCAGCATTATGGGGCAAATTTGCCAGAATTCTGGTAATTACATCCAGCATCATCGGGCAAATTCAGCAGAATTCTGGTAATTACATCCAGCATCATGGGGCAAATTCGCCAGAATTCTGGTATTTACATCCCCAGCATCATCGGCAAATTCGCCAGAATTCTGGTAATTACATCCCCAGCATCATGGGGCAAATTCGCCAGAATTCTGGTAATTACATCCAGCATCATGGGGCAAATTCGCCAGAATTCTGGTAATTACATCCAGCATCATGGGGCAAATTCGCCAGGATTCTGGTAATTACATCCAGCATCATGGGGCAAATTCGCCAGAATTCTGGTAATTACATCCAGCATCATGGGGCAAATTCGCCAGAATTCTGGTAATTACATCCAGCATCATCGGGCAAATTCGCCAGAATTCTGGTAATTACATCCAGCATCATGGGGCAAATTCGCCAGGATTCTGGTAATTACATCCAGCATCATGGGGCAAATTCGCCAGAATTCTGGTAATTACATCCAGCATCTTCGGGCAAATTCGTCAGAATTCTGGTAATTACATCCCCAGCATCATCGGGCAAATTCGCCAGAATTCTGGTAATTACTTCCAGCATCATGGGGCAAATTCGCCAGAATTCTGGTAATTACATCCAGCATCATGGGGCAAATTCGCCAGAATTCTGGTAATTACATCCAGCATCATGGGGCAAATTCACCAGAATTCTGGTAATTACATCCCCAGCATCATAGGGCAAATTCGCCAGAATTCTGGTAATTACATCCAGCATCATGGGGCAAATTCACCAGGATTCTGGTATTTACATCCCCAGCATCATCGGGCAAATTCGCCAGAATTCTGGTAATTACATCCCCAGCATCATGGGGCAAATTCGCCAGAATTCTGGTAATTACATCCAGCATCATCGGGCAAATTTACCAGAATTCTGGTAATTACATCCCCAGCATCATGGGGCAAATTCGCCAGAATTCTGGTAATTACATCCAGCATCATGGGGCAAATTCGCCAGAATTCTGGTAATTACATCCAGCATCTTCGGGCAAATTCACCAGAATTCTGGTAATTACATCCAGCGTCATGGGGCAAATTCGCCAGAATTCTGGTAATTACATCCAGCATCTTCGGGCAAATTCGCCAGAATTCTGGTAATTACATCCAGCATCATGGGGCAAATTCGCCAGAATTCTGGTAATTACATCCAGCATCATCGGGCAAATTCGCCAGAATTCTGGTAATTACATCCAGCATCAAGGGGCAAATTCGCCAGAATTCTGGTAATTACATCCCCAGCATCATCGGGCAAATTCGCCATCTGTCAACGTTGTGGATTCACTCTTCGACAACACCATCGGTGTGGGGCTAAAGCAATGGAACTAATTTTGTCTTTTGTCAACGTGCCCCTTTTTTTTGCTGACTGGCCGTGTCGGGTGGTGGAGGGTTATGACACATTTATAAATAACGCGATCTAGCCCAAAACACCTTCATTATAATATTGTTAAACTGGGTGGAGATGTTGACTACCTCGCCCGGTACGCAGGATGACTGTGAACCACCCCGTGGAGATGTTGACTACCTCGCCAGGTACGCAGGATGACTGTCAATCACCTACTCACTCAGTAACTCGCTCAGTCACTCACTCAGTCACTCACTCAGCTACTCGCTCACTCACTCGCTCAGTCACTTACTAAGTCACTCGCTCAGTCACTTACTCAGTCACTCGCTCAGTCACTCACTCACTCAGTCACTTACTCAGTCACTCGCTCAGTCACCCACTCAGTCACTTGCTCACTCACTCGCTCAGTCACTTACTCAGTCACTCGCTCAGCCACCCACTCAGTCAACCGCTCAGTCACTTACTCACTTAGTCACCCACTCACTCACTCACTCACCCACCCACTCACTCAGTCACTCACCCACTCACTCACTCACTCACCCACTTACTCACTCACTCACCCACTCACTCACTCAGCCACTCACTCACTCACTCACCCACTCACCCACTCACTCACTCACCTACTTACTAACTCACTCACTCACACGCACACTCACCCACTCACTAACCCACCCACTCCCTCACCCACCCACCCACTCCCTCACCCACTCACTCACTCACCCACTCACTCACCCACCCACTCCCTCACACACACCCACCCACTCCCTCACACACACCCACCCACTCACCCACCCACCCACCCACTCACCCACTCACTCACTCACCCACTCACTCACCCACCCATTCACTCACTCACTCACTCACCCACTCACTCACTCACCCACCCACTCACTCACCCACCCACTTACTCACCCACTCACTCACCCCCTCACCCACCCACTCACTCACCCCCTCACCCACCCACTCACTCACCCCCTCACCCACCCACTCACTCACCCCCTCACCCATCCACTCACCCACCCACCCACTCACTCACCCACTCACTCACCCATCCACTCACCCACCCACTCACTCACCCACCCACTCACTCACCCCCTCACCCACCCACTCACTCACCCCCTCACCCACCCACTCACTCACCCACCCACCCACCCACTCACCCACCCACTCACCCCCTCACTCACTCACCCACCCACTCAGTCACTCACCCACTCACCCACCCACTCACTCACCCCCTCACTCAATCACCCCCTCACCCACTCACTCACCCACCCACTCACCCACCCACTCACTCACCCCCTCACCCACCCACTCACTCACCCCCTCACCCACCCACTCACTCACCCACCCACCCACCCACTCACCCACTCACTCACCCCCTCACTCACTCACCCACCCACTCAGTCACTCACCCACTCACCCACCCACTCACTCACCCCCTCACTCAATCACCCCCTCACCCACTCACTCACCCACCCACTCACTCACTCACCCACCCACTCACCCACCCACTCACCCCCTCACCCACTCACTCACCCACCCACTCACCCCCTCACTCACTCACCCACCCACCCACTCACTCACTCGCCCTCTGCTCCACCGCTGCCCTCCACGTTGTTGGTGGCTGTGGCTGTGTTGTCGGCGTCGGCGAGGCGAACGAGTCGCGAGTTGTTGTGCAGGAGACCGCACGCCTCGTCAATGGCCTGAGCCTCAGCCTTGCGCCTCGAGTCGGCCCGCAGGTGGAACTCTACAGAGCGATTCACTCTGTGGGTGTGTGGGTGGGGAGGGTGGGTGGGGAGGGTGCGTGGGTGTGTGAGTGGGTGGGTGTGTGGGTGAGTGAGTGGGTGGGTGAGTGAGTGGGTGAGTGAGTGAGTGGGTGAGTGGGTAGGTGAGTGGGTGAGTGAGTGGGTGGGTGAGTGGGTGGGTGGGGAGGGTGGGTGGGTGGGTGAGTGGGTGGGTGGATGAGTGGGTGGGTGAGTCAGTGAGTGAGTGGGTGGGTGAGTGGGTGAGTGGGTGTGTGAGTGGGTGGGTGAGTGGGTGGGTGAGTGGGTGAGTGAGTGAGTGGGTGAGTGAGTGGGTGAGTGAGTGGGTGGGTGGGTGAGTGTGTGGGTGAGTGGGTGAGTGAGTGGGTGGGTGGGTGAGTGGGTGGGTGAGTGAGTGAGTGGGTGGGTGAGTGGGTGGGTGGGTGGGTGAGTGGGTGGGTGGGTGAGTGAGTGTGTGTGTGGGTGAGTGGGTGAGTGAGTGGATGGGTGGGTGAGTGGGTGGGTGAGTGGGTGAGTGGGTGGGTGAGTGGGTGGGTGGGTGAGTGGGTGGGTGTGTGGGTGGAGAGTGTGGGTGGGTGGGTGTGTGGGTGGAGAGTGTGGGTGGGTGGGTGGGGAGTGTGGGTGGGGAGGGTGGGTGTGTGTGTGTGTGGGTGGGGAGTGGGTTGGCACAGTAGGGGGCACAGGTGGTGCATCAGTCATCTCAGTCAGTCGACCCGTGGCACCTGCTGGGTCTGCCCCGTGGCCTCCTGCCAGCGGGCGTTCGACACTTCACGTGGCCTCAGGGTGCACATAGCCTGGCACAAGCGTCGTGGTGACGTCACCGCCACATAGTGGCGAATGGCGGTTGTTGTTGTTGTTGTTGTGTGGGTGTGTGTGTGTGGGTGGGTGTGTGGGTGGGTGTGTGTGTGGGTGGGTGGTGTGGATGGGTGTGTGTGTGGGTGAGTGTGTGGGTGGGTGTGTGGGTGTGTGGGTGTGTTGGTGGGTGTGTGGGTGTGTGTGGGTGAGTGTGTGTGTGGGTGGGTGTGTGTGTGTGGGTGTGTGGGAGTGGGTGTGTGTGTGCCGGACGGGCAACTCTGTCGTGGACAGTGCTGTGGGGGGAGTTCCAATTTTGATTGGCTCCTCCCCTCATGGCATATGTGTCCACCACAGGGGCTAAACGGGGGCTCTGGACGGGTGCGAGGGGCTGGTAACCCCTCCACCTTCAATTAATTACCACAAAACCACGAATTAAAGTGAAATATGTAACAACTAAGCTTGTGCCGGAGGCCCCGGGGGGCCAGGCGTCTATGACGTCTCCTGGCCAAACCCCAATTGGCGGAGCCAGGAGATTGAATACCTACCCTCGGGGCTACTCCAGAAACAACGAAAAGCCACTACGGGTGGCCACGTGGAATGTTCGAACGCTCACTGCAGAGGAGAGGCTGCCACTCCTCTGTCGGGAGCTGGACCGGTACCGCCTGGATCTATGCGGCATTCAGGAGGTCCGGTGGACCGGCTCTGGCTCCTGCCACCATGAGGGGTGGACAGTCCTCTACTCGGGGCAGCAGACTGCCAAACAACAGGGTGTGGGTCTTCTTTTGAACAAAAGAATGAAGGGGGCGTGGGAGCGTGGCGGTGAGGTGTGGGAAGCTGTAAGCCCCAGGCTACTTTGGGCTCGCCTTCCCATCAACCGGAGGCGAGGAATGGTGGTCGTGGTTACTTATGCCCCCACCGAAGATGAACATCCGTGGAGGGATGCAGGCAAAGCCGATGAGTCAGATGCCTTCTATGACCTCCTGTCACAGGTGCTGGCTAAAGTGGCCCCTCGGGATAGAGTCATCATGTTGGGTGACTTCAATGCCCGAGTTGGTCATGATACTGGCACCTGGTCTGGAGTGATTGGAGGGCATGGGCCAGATCAGCTCAATAACAACGGTAGGAGGCTGCTAGATTTTTGTGCAGCCCATGGGCTTGTAATTACCAACACGCTGTTCCGGCATCGGCGCATCCACACAACATCATGGATGCATGCCGGGTCCAAGCAAGAACATCTGCTGGACTACATAGTGACGGACCAGCGAATGCGAGCCCATGTCCTTGACACCAGGACCTACCGTGGAGCTGATCTGCCCTCTGACCATCGACTAGTCATCTGTAAGATGCGCCTGCCATTCTTCCACTCCGGTGGTGGGTGTACACCCAGGACCCCATTCCAACCTAAAGTGGCCTGGTCTCAGTTATCTGATGAAAGTTGCAAGCGAGAATTTCATCATCGCTTGCGGCTGGGATTGGCATCGTCCCCGACTCCTCCTGATGTCGAGGGTAAATGGGCGAGGTTTAGGACTGTGACTCATGCAGCTGCAATGGCTGCTTTGGGTACGCGGTCCAGACCTCCCCAGACACCCTGGATGACAGAGGAGTTGTTCAGGATGGTTGAGAAAAAGCGACAGGCCCACTGTCATCGGCTACAGAATCCCACGTCAGAGAATGAGGAGGCTTACCGCAGCCTTCGCTCGGAGGTTCGGAGAGCCGTGAGGCGCTGCAAGGATGGGTGGTGGTCGCGGGTTGCTGAGGAGATGGAGTCTGCCTCAGTGGCCCGTGATCACAAATCGCTATTTAACTCCATCAAAAAAGTAACCTGCAGCGCCACACCTATTACCATCATTAGGGGAAAAAACGGTGATCCAATTTCCGACCCCCAGGAACAGGTTCGCAGATTTGCTGAGCATTTCTGTGAGGTCCTGGGGGAGGGAAAATCCCACAGCCAGGAAAACATCGTGGCACAAAGTGAGGATAACCCTGCTGAGGCTGCGGTGCCTCAAATATTGGATGAAGTCACCCCCTGTGAGTGGCTGGCTGAGGTGCCATCTGCTGAGGAAGTATTGAAGGCGATCCGGAGTCTGAGACCAGGAAAGGCAGCGGGCAGAGATGATCTCCCAAGCGAAATGCTGAGGGAGGGTGGCGTTTGTGCACAGACTGCCCTATATGACATCATAACAACAGTCTGGACCACTGGACGGGTTCCGCAGGATTGGAAGGATGCCCTGGTGGTCCCCCTTTTTAAGAAGGGGGACCGCACAGACTGTAACAACTACAGGGGCATCTCACTCCTCAGTGTGCCGGGAAAGGTCCTGGCAAGGATTATTCAGCATCGCCTTGCCAGGCACGCTGAGGAGAGGCTTGCGGAGCCCCAATGCGGTTTCAGGAAAGGACGGTCCTGCACAGATGCCATATTTTCTGTCCGTCTGCTACAGCAGAGGTGTAGGGAATTCCAACAAGACCTACATCTCTGCTTTATTGACCTGGTCAAGGCCTATGATACCATCAGTAGGCCTGGGCTCTGGGTCGTTCTTCGTGCTTTTGGAGTACCTGACCCTCTGCTCACGATCATTAAGGACCTTCATGATGGTGAGCGGGCCCGGGTAAAACTACGTGGCCGGGAGTCAGAGCCATTCCCTGTACACCTTGGGGTGCGACAGGGATGTCCTCTGGCTCCCACATTATTTAACATCTATTTTGACCACGTAGTTCGTGAAGCCTTCAATAGCTGTACCGGGGGAATCTCCATATGGTACAGATATAATGGGAGGCTAATCGATGCCCGGGTGCGGTCAAGGGATGGCTCCCTATTGCTCAACCACGTTATGTATGCTGATGACTTGGTAATAGCTGCTCAGTCAGAGGAGGAGTTGGAGACGCTGCTGCTGAGACTGGAGCGTGCCACTAAGAGGTGGGGCCTTACCATCAGCCCCACCAAAACTAAGCACCTGCCTGGGTATTTTGTACCATCGGACACTCCACCCCCACAACTCCCAATCGGTGATGGGGCAGTTGTGGAGAGAGTGGAGAGTTTCCCATACCTGGGCAGTGTGCTTATGACTGGCTCCAGTTTAACAGCAGAGGTCTCACTCCGAATCAGTCGAGCGGCAATATCTTTTCATCGGTTGCGTAACGCTGTGTGGAAGCTACCTGGTCTGTCGCTCCGCACTAAGCTTCAGGTCTTCTCGGCCACGGTCATTCCCTCCCTTCTCTACGCTTGCGAAACGTGGACCCCCCTAATGGAACATCTTCGCCGGTTAGAAACATTTAGGCTGACCTGCCTACGATCCATCCTGGGTTTAACCAGACTGGATTGTGTGAGGAGCTCACAAATCCTTGAAAGATCTGGGCAGGGTCCCATCGGTGAGCTCCTCCGGCAGGCAAGGCTGCGATGGCTGGGTCATGTAGCCCGCATGCCCAGCCACCGCATGCCGAAACAGCTTTTGTTTGGCCGGATTGAGGGGGCTAAGCGGGCGCGGCACGGGCTAGAGAAGAGATGGAGTGATGTGGTACAGGAGGACGTGGAGCTGAGTGGACTTGCCGATGACTGGTACCAGCGGTGTCAAGATCGGCCTCTGTGGAGGAGGCTCGTGAAGGATGCTACTGGGCAGTTGGAGGCAGTCGCCCTCCAACAACAACGGAGGGCGGAGGAGCGACGCTCACAACAGCGAGCGGAGCGCCGGGTGGCTAAAGCACAGCAGGTTGGCACAGTAGGGGGCACAGGTGGTGCATCAGCCAGTCATCTCAGTCAGTCGACCCGTGGCACCTGGGTCTGCCCCGTGACCTCCTGCCAGCGGGCGTTCGACACTTCACGTGGCCTCAGGGTGCACATAGCCTGGCACAAGCGTCGTGGTGACGTCACCGCCACTTAGTGGCGAATGGCGGTTGTTGTTGTTGTTGTTGTGTGTGTGAGTGTGTGTGTGGGTGTGTGGGTGTGTGTGGGTGGGTGAGTGGGTGAGTGAGTGAGTGGATGTGTGTGTGGGTGTGTGGGTGAGTGTGGGTGGGTGTGTGTGGAGGGTGGGTGTGTGTGGGTCAGTGTGGGTGTGTGAGTGTGGGTGAGTGGGTGTGTGTGTGGGTGTGTGTGTGAGTGAGTGAGTGGGTGAGTGGGTGTGTGTGTGGGTGTGTGTGTGAGTGTGTGTGTGTGTGTGTGTGAGTGTGTGGGTGTGTGTGTGTGAGTGTGTGGGTGTGTGGGTGTGTGAGTGTGTGTGGGTGAGTGTGTGGGTGGGTGTGTGGGTGGGTGAGTGTGTGGGTGAGTGTGTGTGTGGGTGTGTGAGTGTGTGGGTGTGTGGGTGAGTGTGTGGGTGAGTGTGTGGGTGAGTGTGTGGGTGAGTGTGTGTGTGTGGGTGAGTGTGTGGGTGAGTGTGTGGGTGAGTGTGTGGGTGTGTGTGTGAGTGTGTGGGTGAGTGTGTGGGTGTGTGTGTGGGTGAGTGGGTGTGTGTGTGGGTGAGTGGGTGAGTGTGTGTGAGTGTGTGTGTGGGTGGGTGTGTGAGTGAGTGTGTGGGTGAGTGTGTGGGTGTGTGTGTGTGTGGGTGTGTGTGTGGGTGTGTGTGTGGGTGAGTGTGTGGGTGAGTGTGTGGGTGAGTGTGTGGGTGTGTGTGTGGTTGTGTGTGTGGGTGAGTGTGTGGGTGTGTGTGTGTGTGTGAGTGTGTGTGTGTGAGTGTGTGTGTGAGTGTGTGTGTGGGTGAGTGTGTGGGTGTGTGAGTGTGTGTGTGTGATATATTTATATATATAAAGTCACGGAGGTGAAAACGGGCAAGCGAGCAAATAAATAAATAATGAATGCTAACTACTCTGATTAAATGACGACGTTTCGGGCGCGCCCCAAGCGCCCTTCTTCAGGCGGGGGACTCGCACGGAGCAGAAAGCGTCTCAGAGATGTCTGTGACGAGCTAAAATCTAGCAGTCGTGGGGGGCATGGTGAGTGTGGGGGGCTGGTGAGTGTGGGGGGCTGGGGGTGGGGGGCTGGGTGAGTGTGGGGGGCTGGGTTAGTGTGGGGGGCATGATGAGTGTGGGGGGGCATGGTGAGTGTGGGGGGACGAGTGTGGGGGGCTGGTTGTGGGGGACTGGGTGTGGGGGGCTGGGTGTGGGGGGCATCATCATCAGCATCATCATCAGCATCATATCCCCGGTCTGTCACCCCGAGTTTCACACCCCGCTACACACACACCGCTACACACACACACACACCGCTACACACACACACCGCTACACACACACACACACCGCTACACACACACCGCTACACACACACCGCTACACACACACCGCTACACACACACCGCTACACACACACCGCTACACACACACCGCTACACACACACCGCTACACACACACCGCTACACACACACCGCTACACACACACCGCTACACACACACCGCTACACACACACCGCTACACACACACCGCTACACACACACCGCTACACACACACCGCTACACACACACACACACCGCTACACACACACCGCTACACACACACACACACCGCTACACACACACCGCTACACACACACACACAGCTACACACACACACACACCGCTACACACACACACACACACCGCTACACACACACACACACACACCGCTACACACACACACACACCGCTACACACACACACACCGCTACACACACACACACCGCTACACACACACCGCTACACACACACCGCTACACACACACCGCTACACACACACCGCTACACACACACCGCTACACACACCGCTACACACACACACCGCTACACACACACACACACCGCTACACACACACACACCGCTACACACACACACCGCTACACACACACCGCTACACACACACCGCTACCACCTCCACCGCTACACACACACCGCTACCACCACCACCATCGCCACGGTGGTAGCGGTGTGTGTGGGTAGAGGTGTGTGTGTGTAGCGGTGTGTGTGTGTAGCGGTGTGTGTGTGTGTGTAGCGGTGTGTGTGTGTGTAGCGGTGTGTGTGTAGCGGTGTGTGTGTGTAGCGGTGTGTGTGTGTAGCGGTGTGTGTGTAGCAGGGTGTGTGTGTGTGTCGCGGTGTGTGTGTGTGTAGCGGTGTGTGTGTGTGTAGCGGTGTGTGTGTAGCGGTGTGTGTGTGTGTAGCGGTGTGTGTGTGTAGCGGTGTGTGTGTGTGTAGCGGTGTGTGTGTGTGTAGCGGTGTGTGTAGCGGTGTGTGTGTGTGTGTAGCGGTGTGTGTGTAGCGGTGTGTGTGTGTAGCGGTGTGTGTAGCGGTGTGTGTAGCGGTGTGTGTGTAGCGGTGTGTGTGTGTGTATAGCGGTGTGTGTGTGTGTAGCGGTGTGTGTGTGTGTAGCGGTGTGTGTGTGTGTGTGTAGCGGTGTGTGTGTGTGTGTAGCGGTGTGTGTGTGTGTGTGTGTAGCGGTGTGTGTGTGTGTGTAGCGGTGTGTGTGTGTGTAGCGGTGTGTGTGTAGCGGTGTGTGTGTGTGTAGCGGTGTGTGTGTGTGTGTAGCGGTGTGTGTGTGTGTAGCGGTGTGTGTGTGTAGCGGTGTGTGTGTGTAGCGGTGTGTGTGTGTAGCGGTGTGTGTGTAGCGGTGTGTGTGTGTGTAGCGGTGTGTGTGTGTGTGTAGCAGTGTGTGTGTAGCGGTGTGTGTGTGTAGCGGTGTGTGTGTAGCGGTGTGTGTGTAGCGGTGTGTGTGTGTAGCGGTGTGTGTGTGTGTAGCGGGTGTGTGTGTGTAGCGGTGTGTGTGTGTGTAGCGGTGTGTGTGTAGCGGTGTGTGTAGCGGTGTGTGTGTGTGTAGCGGTGTGTGTAGCGGTGTGTGTGTGTGTGTGTGTAGCGGTGTGTGTGTGTTTGTAGCGGTGTGTGTGTGTAGCGGTGTGTGTGTGTGTGTAGCGGTGTGTGTGTAGCGGTGTGTGTGTAGCGGTGTGTGTGTGTAGCGGTGTGTGTGTGTGTAGCGGTGTGTGTGTAGCGGTGTGTGTGTGTGTAGCGGTGTGTGTGTAGCGGTGTGTGTGTGTGTAGCGGTGTGTGTGTAGCGGTGTGTGTGTGTGTAGCGGTGTGTGTGTGTAGCGGGGTGTGTGTGTGTAGCGGTGTGTGTGTGTGTAGCGGTGTGTGTGTGTAGCGGTGTGTGTGTGTAGCGGTGTGTGTGTAGCGGTGTGTGTGTGTGTAGCGGTGTGTGTGTAGCAGTGTGTGTGTGTGTGTGTAGCGGTGTGTGTGTAGCGGTGTGTGTGTGTGTAGCGGTGTGTGTGTGTAGCGGGTGTGTGTGTAGCGGTGTGTGTGTGTGTAGCGGTGTGTGTGTAGCGGTGTGTGTGTGTGTAGCGGTGTGTGTGTAGCGGTGTGTGTGTGTAGCGGTGTGTGTGTGTGTAGCGGTGTGTGTGTGTGTGTAGCGGTGTGTGTGTGTAGCGGTGGGTGTGGATTAAATCCGAAAGCGCGGATTTAATCCAGCAGCTGGCTTATTTTACTTCTACAACATCGTAAAGTCTCCTAGCCCCCCACACCCAGCCCCCCACACTCAGCCCCCCACACTCAGCCCCCCGCACTCAGCCCCCCCCACACCTAGCCCCCCACACCTAGCCCCCCACACCCAGCCCCCCACACTCAGCCCCCCACAACTAGCCCCCCACACCTAGCAATCCACACCTAGCCCTCCACACCTAGCCCCCACACTCAGCCCCCCACACAACTAGCCCCCCACACCTAGCCCCCCACACCTAGCCCCCCACACCCAGCCCCCCACACACCTAGCCCCCCACACCTATCCCCCCACACCTAGCCCCCCACACCCATCCCCCCACACCTAGCCCCCCACACCCAGCCCCCCACACCTAGCCCCCCACACTCAGCCCCCCACACCTAGCCCTCGACACCTAGCCCCCCACACATCGAGCCCCCCACACCTAGCCCCCCACACCTAGCCCCCCCACACCCAGCCCCCCACACCTAGCCCCCCACACTCAGCCCCCCACACCTAGCCCCCCACACCTAGCCCCCCACACCCAGCCCCCCACACCTAGCCCCCACACCCATCCCCCCACACCTAGCCCCCCACACCTAGCCCCCCACACCTAGCCCCCCACACCTAGCCCCCCACACTCAGCCCCCCACACCTAGCCCCCCACACTCAGCCCCCCACACCTAGCCCCCCACACTTAGCCCCCCACACTCAGCCCCCCACACTCAGCCCCCACATCTATCCCACCACACCTAGCCCCCCACACCTAGCCCCCCACACCTAGCCCCCCACACTCAACCCCCCACACTCAGCCCCCACACTCAGC